TAATAAGACTGATATTTTGCCCACAACTCTGGAAAATAATTGATAGGAGTAAGATTTAAAAGAGAGGGATCAATTCTTCAGGAGTTTATTCTAGAAAGTTTTGCGTCCTGGAGGTTAGGAAATAAAAGTCTTTACAATCACATAACTCGCATCACCAAAGGTTAAAAATTTTCATTTATATTTCCTGCAGAGTGGGCAGGACTTCGCTAAATTTAACATCAAATAAGATTATTTCGACTTTTTTATTGCATCTTCGTTAATTAGATTTTAGCAGTTTCATTTTTTTTCTTTGCGTGACTTCATTCTACATATCTATGGGCTTTATGCTCATTGACTCTTAGAGGCTTAGACTCCAAGGTAAAAGTTTTGATGTGGATTTGGAGATACTTCTGCGGTCAGAACACATCTTATCATTTAGGCTACTGATAGAATCCTATCAACCTCTAGAAGGACCCAGAAGAATTCAGCAGCAGTTAACAGTAACAAATTCTGTTAGATTTGGTTACAAATACTTGTAAATAGAGAAGAGGTAGAGTGTGTTAAAAAAAAAAAAAGAAATTGGCTAGTATCTTGGGGGAGTAGTGGACCTCTCGAATGTCCATGGATGTTTATCTTTTCCTTATTGTTGTTGGAAGTGTGTTTTCTTCATCCATTAGTGTTAATGCAATTACAGTAATACCATATTATAGAAAACAAAATCAGTATTTTGTTTAATAGCACATTGTTTATCTCAAGCACAGTCTTTAATTCTGGGAAGTAAGTATCTCCTGTAATAAATTCCTATCAAATTGGTATCAGAGCAACAATCTTGGGGCAATGACAACAAATTTCAGCAAGGAAATAGAAGAGAGATCGAGAAGAGGAGTTAGGTTTGGATTCACAAGGGCGACTTATAATCTCCATCTTCTACGGTGATATTACTGAAAGGTGGATCTCTCGGGCCAAGAAGATTTTCTCCAGTAACCAATTACAGGAGGCAGAGAAAATAGAAGCGGCAACATCCTGTTTTGACTAGCAAACACGGGATTGGTATCAACAGGAAGATCGACTGCGACTGGTGCAAACTTGGGTTGAATTGAAGGAATTGATGTTGGCTCGATTTCGCGTAAATAAGCTCTCGATTGGTGAAGAATATTCAATATGGAAGCGTGGGGAACTGGGAAACTTGGAAACAGCGGGGAAAGAAAAAATTTATCAATGGAAGGGACCTCCATTGTCGTCGCCTGGAGAGGAGGAGAAGCCAAAGATCGTAGAGGAATTTATTACTATCGAGGGGCTACAGGTGGATAAGATGAAAGAAGAGAAATTGGTAGAGCTAATGGGTTTGGCCATAATTTGGATTGGGCACAAAGAGTTGAAGAGCAAAATGAGATAGTGAAACAGGTCCAACTGAATCTCAGCCCAAATAGAAGGAAACCTAGCCCATCAAAATGTAAACCCGTATTAACACAAAACCAAGACAATGCTCCTCTTCCCCTCCAATCACGTTACAATCCCTCTCCATCCCTAGTCAAAATTTCAGCCAAATCACGTTACAATCTGAAGGGCCTAAAGATCGATAGATTTCGGCCATCCCAAGGGCGCAACTTCTTTGGCAAATGTTTGGCATCAAGGCAAGAATGGACCGATTGCCGACGAAATGTTGAGATTCCGATGTCGCCTTTGTATAAAATTCCAGATCTGGTGTTGGAGAGTATTCTCGTCAATGGTATACGGCAAGGAAGTTGCAGAGAAGAACCGATGCTTGAGCCCCAAGGATTGGGCCGAGTAATGGCGTTGACAATAAAAGATGAAGACAAATATGATATGCTCAGACAGACCCAAAGTAGATTGGGTTCAAACCAGGTAAAAGGGATTGTGTTTACTTACATTCCAAATCTCTATGAAGAGGATCCAATTCGGAGTAATTGTACAGGCCCAATGACTTACCCCAAGCCAAATTTGATCCAAACTATTCAATCGACCCAATTAGTTGGGAATGGAGATATGAAGCTTAAACGGGCCCATAAAAGTCCCAGCCCACTTTACAACATTCCATTTTCTGGTTATAAAATGAACGTGATCCAGATCTCTTCAATCCCTAAGGCTAAATCTGTTTCTAATATGTCCAGGAACCACAATCTACCACCTAAAATACAGAATTCCTTCAAACTGCTTTCAGGTGCGAAGTTGCCATGGCTACAAGGGAAACAATTATACCATCAGTGGCCGGAGAAGAATCCAATAATGCATCATAATACAAATAAAGGGCTACAGGTTTTGGTGGTCAGTAACCATTCTGGTAGGAAAGAGGAAGACAAAGTGGACATCACCACCGACCTTTTTTATGGGATTAACTTCTGGTATTCACCTCAAACGCATAGCCAAAGACCGCGGTGAGCAAACTGATGAATCCGCTGACATTCTCAAGGGGGGCAAAGTAAGAACTAACAGAATGGTTTGGGGACCTATGGACAAGATATTAATAAGTGTTAGGGCTACCAAGAATAGAAAGAGAGGAAGGATCGATACATGCATTGATAAATCTGATTACAGAGGAGTGAGGAAGTTCATGTCATGTGTGCAGCTTATGTTGATGCTGGGGATGCAATGCTATGTTTTCCCATTTGAACTAAGAACTGAAGCAAGAAATGTGCATGATATTTATTTTGATATCTCGAAGATAGCATTTCCAGACACAGACTTTTGGGAGGCCAAAAATGCTATATCTTTCTCCAGCCAAGTGAATTCTAAGTTGAACTTCCACCTTGAGGACAAGGTGGATTTTGTGGCGGCGGGTAATGATAGAATACTATAAACCTCTAGAAGGACCCAGAAGAATTCAGCAGCAGTTAACAGTAACAAATTCTGCTAGATTTGGTTACAAATACTTATAAATAGAGAAGAGGTAGAGTGTGTAAATATAAAAAATAAAAAGAAATTCGGTAGTATCTTGGGAGAGTAGTGGACTTCTCGAATGTCCATTGATGTTTATCTCTTCCTTATTGTTGTTGGAAGTGGGTTCTCTTCATCCATTAGTGTTAATGCAATTACAGTAATATCATATTATAGAAAACAGAATCAGTATTTTGTTTAATAGCACATTGTTTATCTTAAGTACAGTCTTTCATTCTGGGAAGTAAGTATCTCCTGTAATAGATTCCTATCAGCTACATAATCATGTAATAATATTTTGTTGCTTGCACAATATTCTTTTATATGTGCATGTTACTAATAATGTTACTTAACCACCAGTACCAAATCTTACAACTCATAATTTGTTAAGATGGAATTTGATTCTTTATACTGTTCGCAATATTAGAACTATGCCTTTTGCTATACAGACTAAGAGAATAGTAAAAGAAGAATGAATCACTACACAGGTGCTAGTGTTTACATTGATTTCGATTCCATAATTTAAAAAATAAAATAAAAATTATTATATCCAAATCTCTTGCACATTTATATATACCTGCTTGTCCAGCCAAACAAGATACTGCACAACAGCTGCACCATCCCGAATGTGTGCATTCTTCAATCCTTCCATCTCAACAGGATTCTGAAAATAATATGCCAGCCACTCAATAAGCACAAAGTTACTCTAAAAGCATGCTCAAGAGCCTGGTAATAATCCATGGAATAATTTATAAGATAGTTTCACTATACGTCTGACCCCTATATCAATAATCACATATGAAACATCAATTATATATCAAGAAAGAAAATGAAGATAAGCCAGCATGTCCCACATATGCACATAGGAAAAAGAAATAAAGAAAAAATGACATCTCCAAAAAGAAAATTACCGAAAATTCCAAATGGACTATGAAGCGTGAAAAAAGTACTACGGCCTGTGGACACATTGCATTTTTTCCTGTCAGATATTAACTATATACTGCTGAGAAATCTTTCATACCCTGGTAATAACGCGAGGCCTATGATTTCTTCACTAAAGTTCTAGGAGCAAAATACTTTCCAGCCGCATTGCCATGAAATCAAACAACAATATCTGTACCGTCATTTTTTTTACATGCTATATTCTCTTCTTTCATATACTCCCTGATGCTCCATATTTTCCTTTGCATGTTAATAAAATCTAATCATATATTAAGAGGGTCATAGCAGAGTTTCGTTCAAAATTCAAAGAAGATAATAAATGTACAGGCATATTTTAAACTTCATGAAAAACACAACTAGATAATTGAGGTGCCTAAGATAGAATCAGGAAAACCACATGACAGAAGAAGCTTATAAAATAATGTAATTAGTTTCAATAATTTCAAAAGCATTGATCAAAGTAAGAACTACTTGTATTTAAAAGTATGATCATTTTGTATCTCTTGGTTATCTTAAATTACTACATTTTTCTAAGTAAATTGAATGCACATGTAAAATAAATATTGTGTAAAGAGTTGCGAATGTATTTTCAACAACAATGATATTTCATTTAGAGAATACATGTACGCATTCCAATTCTTAGAAAGATATGAATTATATTGCTTGGCGATGTCATGATGTGAGATATTACAAATGCTGAATGAAAATATATTTCTAATGGTAAAAGTATAGGATAGGCATGCAGTAGGAAGATGTGTCAGGTATAATATGTGGATATGACTTGCATTAGCCTTTTCCCCCATTGAGGAAAAATCCCATCACCGGCTGCCACATATATTTTTCAGATCTCGTGATTGATGCTTCCATTCAATTTACAAACCAAAAGAGAGATGGAGAAAAACATTATCAGGAAAGAATTTTGAGTCTATAATTGATGCAATTACCACTAACCGCATCATAACTGAGGCAACACATGACAGTCAAAATAATAAGTCTCTAAACTACAGAAATGTCAATAAAGGCAAAATATAATTAGGTCCTAAGATTCAGGCATAACTTAAGCAACAATATATAAGTCACAGCAACTCAGGGATATAATATATTTCTCAACAATGAAAATAAATATCTTAGGTAAGTTATACACAGTAACAGCAACTTGAATCCAGCTCCAATAACCCACGTGCATTTACAAGGAATTTTCAAATATTAGGTTCTCAAAATAATATTCCCAATAAACTCTGTCAATTGACAATAACACTACCTTCAGTACAGGTTTCATTCACAAACTTACTCAAAAATAAACGAAAAAAGAGAAAAATAAAATGGAAATTCCATGTATAGGTGAGTGGTGTTTAAGATAGAATGCACTACCTTTAGGGCTTTGGCAAGGCCTAAAGGTGATGGCTGCATGAGAACCTTATCCACATTCAATTTTGAATACAAAGCAAAGCAGCATGTACCATCAACCCATACAAGGTTATTATTACTCCCGTCTTCAATGTTATCATTCCCAGCATCCCGAGAATTGCGATCTATTTTATTTGGAATGTCATGTTCTGCTTTGTTGACTGAACTGGAAGGAGTAAGCTGGTCAGATGCAAGTAAGATCACATCTGAAATTACAGCACCGTAATCCCGCACTTCAATTCCATTTTTCTCCATATAAAAACTTGTCTGCAAATCATTTGAATTCGGATTAAAAAAACCAACACATACAAAAAGAGCTTATTTGCTTAAACTATTCTTAAACTAACCTCCGAAGATATCTTTCTTGTGTCCACGTAAAAGAAAGCAGCAGCTAGAGTTACTATAGCATACGCATGAACAACGGGGCTGTAGGAAACATCAGTTCCACGAATATTATACAACCAAGCAACCTGAAATGTTGATAGTGTTAAATTAGCAAAGAAACTCAAAAGCATTTGGGTCTTAACTTGACACAGGATATGAGTTGGATGTCATAAACTCACCTCATCAAGAGCAGTTATTATGATAGCACGAGCTTTTTCCTGAACAAGCTTTTCCCTCAAATCCTTCAACTTTTCTTGTACAGAACTACCAGAAAATTCAGGTGGATGGACAATAACAGGATTAATTTCCAGCAGAGGTCTACTTATCCAAACTTCATCTACCAGGTTTGTGGATGTCTGAACCAACTTCTGCTGTTTCTTAGAGAAAGCACGCTCCCATTTCTGTGCAGTGTCAACTGATATACACCAGGGGTCAACACCAATAGCTGCAGCTTTTGGGAGATTCTAGTACAGAAAAATTACAATAAAAAATTGGTTGAAATAGTAAGATAAATCCATTACAGCTTCTTTCATAAGGAGAATACGTATTGAGCCGAGCCCACAAATAGCAGAATATGGATTACACAAAAACTGTGAAGTGACTCACATTTGCCATCCAAATATCAACAGCTGGGTCTTCCCCCATGCGCATTAGCTTCCACTGGTCACTAAGCTGTTGTGATGCCTGGAAAAAGTACCTTCCATCCGTCCACAGTAATGCTTCCTTTGCCGTTATAAGCGCCAAGCCTACATGAAATCCAAATGTTGAGACTTAGTTAAAATCAACTAGGTCAATGACAACGAAAAGAGGGATAAAAAGGCACACCAGAAGGGATTGTGCATATGACAATTCTAACGCCAACCGCTGTTATTAATGTGCCAAAACTGCAATTCATTTTGGTCAAATCCAAGGATATGCCAAGACATTTGCCATAAGGATAATGATTAGATGATATCGTTGCACAACCTCAGATAATCTTTTCAAAGTTGCTGCGGTCTATACCTCAGAATTAAATTCTAACCAACCAATCGTTCACGTGATAAAAAATTACTCTAGTAAATAAATTTCAAGTGATTGTCCTTATTAAAAGTAAACACCTTAATGCCGCAAAAACTGAATGCGCTCTTGCGAAAGTTCAAAAAAAAAAAAAATCAAAACTTTGTCATGTGTTGTAAAATGCATTTCTAGAGTCATTAAAATCTGTGAAGATTAAATTAGTAAACTAGAAACAAACCCGCACTGCCGGTGAATCCAGATACAAATTCGCGCCTTTTGTCCCGCGCAGATACATACTCACTCTGCCAAATCAACATCCACCGATTATATGAATTATCAAACCCACTCAACACCAGTGGCCAAATCACATAAACACATAAAGAGACGCTTTAACAACTCAAGTAACACAATTGTAAAACCGCAGCATCTGAATTACAGTAAATACCTACACAGCCAAATACAGGAGACTGACCTGATGATAATCTTCCGAGGGAACGACAAGAGCATCGAGTTTGGGAGAGTGAGAGGTCATTAGAGACCTCAGAGCAACCAGTGTTTCTTCCGCCATTCTTCTCAAATATATATATATATATATATATATATATATCTCTCTCTAATTGCGATTAGCAGCGTAAATGAAAAATTCTGCTTCTATAGAATCTTTCTGCACACCCTTATATAGTAATTAATTAAAATTGTGATTAATGGTAACTCTTCAGTGCATAGTTATGAGATTCGACCCGCACAAGGGATTGGATCTCGGATTACCGGTCAGTGCAAAAAAATCTACCAAAACATATATATAAAGGACAATTTTTAGAGGATTAATCTACTTGGTACGGACACCGGTGTCATTATGTGTCCCAAGTATGATCTTTTTTTAAGAAAAAATGGAAGTTTTAAAGTTATTTTTCACGGTTTACAATAAAGTAAAAGTTGACCAAAGTTTTAAAAAAATTTAGAAAATAAATAATAACAAAGCACTTGTTGTTCCAGCGATGAGGAACCCATTATTTTCTTTAGAGGTTCAGGTTTAATTCCCTTGAATCCAAAATTTTGAATGAGGATTTCAAAATCCAGTTTAGTCAAACTGGTTAAACAGGCCAGTTAAATCGTTGGTTTTTGACCGAGTTAGGTACATTTATATTAAATTAATATGCTCAGGTCACCAATTTTCCGGTTCAACCAATCGGGTCGAGATTTATAGGTATGCTTCAATATGAGATATTTAGTGGGTGGAAACGACTTTCATTTTCTCGAAACTCACCTTGTAGAAAATGCGACTTATTTTTATGTTAATAGTTTTCTATTTTGTTTTCAATCGTGTTACAAAAACATAAGATTGATATAATTTTTTAATATAATGCTACATGACAACTTATCATTGAATTGTGTAAAATACAATCAACTTTGTCATTGATATTACCAATATTGATTGCTCGAGGAGCATCTTACCGGAGGACTCATGCATGTTTTCCCTTTATTTTCCTGGCATGATGTCCTTGAGGTATGTGGGCCCTCAAGAACATTATCTTGGGGACTTGCTTCACGCTATTATGAGACTCGCTTGTTAGCATCCTCGAGGATTGGTTCTCGGGTTATAGTTCTCTAAGATGACCTCAAGGTACAGATGTTTATCCAACAGAAGTCTATATCTCCCGAGGACTCTTATCTCAAACATAATTAGTCTCGTGATTTTAGGACTCTACCAGATATGAACATACGGGCAGTTCAGTCCTAATAAGAGAGTAACAATCTACCACTTTAAATATAGACCCATAACCTATTAATCAGGTATGTTCTTCACATAATTTTCAGCACACATTTCTTTTCAATCCTCTTTCTGACTTAAGTATCGGAGGAGCGATGAGAACACATCTCGTTGCCTTTGTTTCAAGTACCGGAAGACCGCGTTCATGCTTGTTATCAGTCCTCATTCTCGAGATCTGCAAGGTACGATTTTTGGTAGCATCAATTATTAAATAACATTATGCCAACATATATTCTATCACTCTCTGTCACAAACTTTGTGGTACACAAGCATTATTCAATTCTAGTATACACGGTGTATTTGACCAGGTGTAATATTTTATTATTTTTGTCGTTTATTATTGGTGGAGAGATTGAGATCAAAAGAACGGCAAACGGATGAGATACAAAGTGGAATCTAATTAACCGACGACACAATCTCGAATCAAATGCAAATTGGAAGCATCAATTATCTTATGTCAATACTAATTCTGCCTTAATCTTGGGACGAATCTTTATTTGCCATTACAATATACAACTGTACTAGAGGCGTATTTACTTAGCCCCATTTGGCCCCATTAAATATAATTTCATTTCCCTCTCTCTTATTTTCAATCACACAATTTTCTATAAAATAATAGTGGAAATTACATAAACTAATACTTTTAAAGATTCCACTTCATAAATCATATGTGAAGTTCGCAATTTCAAAAATCAGAAATTTTTATTAAATAATTAATATGAATAAAAATTAATTAATCCCCAAATCATCCTATCCCATTTCCAAAACCCATCTTCCTCTTCTCTCTCTCTCATTTTTCCCTTTCTCCACACCGTCATTGCAGATCAGACCGACAGCTCACCATCATTGCTGATCCAGCTTTTCTCCAGCAAGAAACATGTCGAAGGTGTGTGCGTGGTTGGCGGCGCTGTTAGGTTCCATGAAGAAGCCGTGCGACCCATATTGTTCGCAGTAGGTACCAGTGCTCCTGTTTGAGGAAATTAAGTTTGGGTATTGGCCGACTGGTGTTGGTAACGAGCTGTAATAGTCAAGTTGTGACAGCCGTGGTGTTTTCTCCATGTTCCAAGCGGTGCATCATCTCAGTCGAGGCAATGCAACCTTAGAGAAATTAGGGTATCAATCTGTGGTTGTGACTGTCGTGGTAGTGTTGTCTTGTAACCGTCATGGTGGTGTTGTCGATGGATGGTGGTGGTTGTGGTTTTGGTGACTGTGATGTTGTTGTCGTGGGATGGTGGTTGTGGTTTTGGCGACAGTGGCAATGTGTGTGTGGTTGTGTTTGTTGTAGGTGCAGTTGTGTTGTTGATGATGGTGACGTGGCTGCAATAGTCCCAATTTGTGGTTGTGACCATTGTGGTGGTGGTGGTGTCGAGGGATGTTGGTTTTGGCGACTGTGGCGGTGTATGTGCAGTTGTGTTGTTGTGGGTGCAGTTGTGGTGTTGTGGGTGCGATGGTGGTGTGGTGATTGAGTTGTGGTACTGTGGGTGCGATGGTGGTGGTGGTTCTGGCAACGACGGTAGTGATGGTGGTGTTGGAAATAGTGGTGAGATGGTGGTCGCAAATGTCAGGTGGTAGTCACGAATTATTTGGTTGACTGTAATCATTAAATTAGTTAATCTGTGATCAATAAAAAATATAAATTGGGATCAAGAAATAAT